AATCAAACATATATATGCAAGCATCGCATTGTTTCACTAGTGTAAATCTTGAAAGAGTTAATTTAATCTCGGAGGTATGATAGACACTGTGAAATGATTGGAAACCACTCAAGAGTAAAGGGCAACTGGGATGTGAGAAAAGAGAAGGGAAAGAAGGAGAAATTTTGTACGTATGTATATACAAGATAGTTAACATGGTTGTTCTACTGTCTTCTATTTCTATGCTGAAAGAAACTGTCAATGAGTCTTTGGTTGATCAGTATCGCATTTCTATATCTGTTTTCATGAGAAGCCACTTTGAAGATATCAATATGTAATACAACCACCATTGTTAATTCCCCACCACTTTGTTTGTAACTCTGTATTGTCTGTACTGTGCTTGTGATATGTTGTAAAATGTTGTATGTCTGTTAATGTTTTCCTCCTTTTATTTTTAAAATAAAAAACAACAACAACAAAAAAAAACAAATAAGAGCAGGAAAAAAAGAAGATCACATATTTTATGATTGTATTTATAATCAAATTCCAGAATAGGCATATTCACAGAGACAGAAATATAGTATCAAAGTCGAAAATGAATACAGAAGCCATACAATTTTACCAGAGGTTATGGAACACAGAGTTGTATTTACACTGAAATTTAAGGCTTCAAATGGCTCTATTTTAATTAAAAATAAATATTAAAATGAATTATGTGTTTACCCTAAAACATAATCAGTAAGGAAAAAATTAAACAAAAACAAAACCCAGGAAGTAGTAATTAATGAAAATATTAAACAAATGAAATAAATATAACAATATGGGGTTTAAAGAAAACAAAAAGCTAGTCCTTCAAAATGACTAGTGTCATAGATAACCCCTTAGCAAATCAGATAAAGAAGTAAAAGATTGAATTTAGAAAAGCAAAATCTTTTCCAGCTAGGGAAGTGTTTAAAGCAGTTATTGTGGAACATTATGCACAATATATGGCAACATATTTTAATATTGATGTGAAACAAATGCTTCCCTAGCAATGTAATTAGCAAAGTTGATACAAGAAAAAAAGGAAGACAGAAGACACCAGTGAATGTAGAAGAGACTAGAAAAAAGAAATAGAACACAACAAACACAAATAGGAAGACTCCGAAAGGTAAAAAGCAAAGGTAAATAGCTTACAGACCTCAGGACCTAGAGAACAACACAGTGATGAATTTCCTGGGTTTGTTTTTTCCTTCCATATATCAATAAAATGTATTGGAGAAGCTTAGAATTCAGAATCAATAGGCACTTACCAAAAAAAAGCATCAAGAAAAGCCATTCTTCTTAATCAAAACTCCAGGAAGGAGGTGATCTTACTGAACAGAAAAACTTTCTCAAAAACACCCAGCCTACTCCAGTGAAACGCTAATGGAATGCATTCTTCGCAAGCACCCGCCGAACATTCTCCAAGACAGACCGTACTGGAGAATGTTCTAAGACAGTCATAAAAGATCCCCCAAATTGATCACATGGTATATTTTCTGTGATTGTAATGACACCAAACTAGAAATCAATACTGGAAAGACAAAAATCTCCAAACACTTGAAAATTAATATATTTCTATATAGTCCATGATCAAAGAAGTGTTGAGGAAAATTAAAAAACAATAAATGAAAATACAATACATTAAAATATGTAGAATTCAGATAGAGCAGCACTGACAGGGAAATTTAAAGCACTAAATGTTTACATTAGAAAACAAGACCGGCCTTAAGTCAATAATCTAAGTTCTGACCTCATGAAACTAGGAAACTAAGAGCAAAGTAAACGCAAAGCAAACAGAAGTAATAAAGAACAGAAATCAATGAAACTGAAAACAGAAAAACAATAGAGAAAAATCAATGAAAATATTCTTTAAAGTTACATCTAGGTTATGTGTACAAGGTATATATGAACTTGGCATGTAGGCCAATGCCTGCAATTCCAGCTACTAGGGAGGCTGAGACAGGATAACAGGTTTGAAGCCATCCTGGGAAACTTAGAGAGACCTGTCTAAAAATAAAATATAAAAAGGGTTGGGATGTAACAGGAGTAGGGCACTTGTGTAGCATGTCTGAGGCAAGGCAAGGCAAGGCAAGGCAAGGCAAGGCCCTGAGTCAACCTCTAGTACTGAAAAAAAATGTTTTAAAAAGTATATGTAGCCAGGGATATAGCTCAGCAGCACAGCACCTGCCTGGTAAGCACAAGGTCATGAGTTTGATTCCGGGTACCAAAAAAAAAAGTATACATGAAACACAAATAAATTTTGTGTTTGGATTTAGGCCCAATCCCCAAAATATCTCATTTTGCATATGTAAATATGCAAAATTTAAATAAATCCAAAATCTGAAAACCGTTCTGATTCAAAGCATTTTGGATAAGGATTACTCAACCTGTACTGGAAATTTTAGGCAGCATAATAAAGCACGAAAAAAGAGAGGAAGAAATAAAACTATCCCTGTTTGTATAAGACATGATTGCTTATTTAAAAAAAAAAAAAAAACAAAGAATCTACCAAAACACATGTAAAATTAAAATTGAGTTCGGCAAAATTACAGGATACAAGATCAACACACAAAACTCAACTGTACTCCCATATAAGCAGCAAATATATGGAAACCAAAATTTAGAAGACAATGCCACATACAGCTACTTAGGTATAAACTTAACAAAATATCTACCCAACTTGTATGCTGAAAACTACAATATGCTCTTAAATAACTCAAAGATGATCTCAATAAATAAAGATATACTGTGAAAATGGATCAGAAGACTTCACATACTTAAGATGTAAATTCCTCCCAAATTGGTATACAGGTTTAACCTTATTCCTATCAAAATCCCAGCAGGATGTTTTGTAGGTACAGACAAGATTATTGTGAGATGTATATGGAAAAGCAGAGGAACTAAAAGAGCTAAATAATGTTTAAAAAGAGCAAAGTGGAAGTAATCACTACCCGACTTGCTACACATCTACAGTAATCAAGACAGTATGGAACTCCTGGCAGAAAGACAGACAGATAGATCAATGGGGCGGGATAGACAACCCAGAAAGAGCTTTCACACAATTACGGTCAATTTATTCTTGACAAAGGTGTAAAACAATTCCATAGATGTAGGATAATCTTTCCAACAAACGGTGCTTGAGTAATTGGACCATTCATAAGCGAATAAATGTGCCTCAACCGAATCTCACACTATGCCAAAATTAACTCATACTGTATTATTGACAGCAACAACGATAAATGAACAAATCATCACGGTGGATGATGAACAAATCACCATGTATCCTTTCTCAACAATAAAAGAAGCACACACACAAAAGAGACGAATTTTGCATGACATAACTGACACCTAAATAATTAAATACTATTTTCGAGTTATGTGGATAACATTGCTAAGAATTCACCACGGACTAGGCCAGAAGTCTTTTTCATATTTCAAAAATAAGCTTCACGGAGACATTTTTCTGACCCAGAAAACGGAGCTTAGAAATCCGTTTAAAAAGATAAACTTTGGGGAATTGAAAACACACTTCTAAATAACTCCTTGGTAAAAGACAAATTACTAATGCCTAAAGAGCACTTAAAACATAATGTACCAAACCAGCGGGTCTTAAAGTGAACTTTAAAACCTTAACCTTGATATCAGCAAAGAGAAAAGCCTGCAAAATAATGGGCGAATCATCCAACTCAAGTTAGACAAACCACTCCATTGCTGACCACACTCACCCTCCCTGCTGAAGCCCCAGCACTCACCCTCCCTGATCGCCCACCACCGCCACATCTGTCCAGCGGCGAGCGAAATCCGCTTGACAACTAATAAACCACCGCTGAGAACCTCAGTCGCTTCCGGTCACCACCCTAGCACCGCCCCTTCTTGGGTTTGGGGGCTTCACCTCGGTGTGGCAACGGTGTCTGCGCACGCGCAAATCACCTTCGCGGCCTCTTTCAGCCGTCAACCCGTTGTTACGGAGTCGATGCTTTGGGGCATTCGATGCCCACAGTCGTGTTGTTAGGCGAGGAACATGGCCGCGCCTAGGTTGCCCTTTTCAAATGGGATACGCCATGTTGGAGGAGTGTCCTTTCCGTACTGAGGATGAGGACGCCTCTAAATACACAGGGCAGGGGTGTAGAGGCTGTCCCACTGGCGGCTAGGTGCAGGAGACCGTTCTGTGAACAGGCTTACTAGAGGATAAGTTTCTTTAAGCCCATATTCTACAAAACTGAGCATACCATTCCCAGAAGCTGAGGGTCTCTTAGAAAGTCAGAAAGGCGCCTGCCGCTGTGTCCTGGTTCATACTACTGGACGAAAAGCGGGAGGGGGGGGATTAGGCTGGAACAAACCATGAGGAAAAAGGGGGGAGAAGTTAGCCCTCCTAGGACACCACGGAGTGGGAAAAGGGAAGAAGTCAGTGTCAAATTCTCTACCCCTGTCGTGCCAATGGGGTTTGGCTGTGAGGTTTGAATGCTCCCATAGTCTACCTTATTTCCCACTCCATCTTCCCCAACTAAAATAAAAGTATGTACCAATAAAAACGTTTGATGTGTCCTTAGTCTAATGCATTATCAATAAAAACATCTTTTGGAAACTTACTGTCTTTATTTCCTCATAAAGAAAAATCTACTTAGTGACAGTGCCCTTAGGTTGCCAATATAGCTTTAATACAAGATTCTGATTTTGCCTTTCAACGGGTTTGCTGCTCCTTTCACCTCCAATATGGAATTCTGGAGGTGCCCCTACCCTTTTGAGAGATGTCACCAGGGCAGAACGAGAAGGCGGTTGTGCTGCCTTTCATCAGATTATGCCTATTCGTTCTTCAAAACCAAGTTCAAACGTCCCCACCTTCCCACGCCTGAAATCCTCCTGATAGAGGAGAAGGCTCTGTGCCTTACTGAAGGCCTCGCTGAATCCTCAGGTGACAAAAGTATTTTGAAGGGACCTAGTGTCAGCTGAAGTGTGAACTTGCTGGGGGGCTTCATTTTAACAATCTGGAATGTAAGGGGTGTCCTAGTCCAGACTATGACCATCTGAAACTAATTTGTAGTCTGAAGGATTCGTCTATCAATGAGGGAAACCACACAGCAGAGAGACCACGGGGCAGCTCACCAAATAAAGGAAAAGATAGAATTCTTAACGGATTCTGAAGAAAGGTGGAGTTCAGATGAAATGTAAATGAAGCAATGGGTGGGGGAGCTCCAAGAAGGGCTATGTGTGAAGAGATCAACATGAAGTCTGGATGGCAAAGTGAACCCAGAGTACCGTTCCTTACCTTGGAAACAATTAAGATAGGCCTAGGACGCAGTGTTCAGACACTCCGAATCTGGAGCTGTGTACCTGGGCTGAAAACCGAAACCTGCTTTTCTATGTCAAAGTGACTTAGAATGTCCCCTAAAAATTAGGTGTTTCATTCGTACTGATACCATTTAAAACAGCAAAGTTTCTAAGTGTCTATGATTATAGAGAACAAAGTTTCTCAGTGACTAATGTGCTACCATAAAGAACCCCAACTTGGAGCAGTAGCCACTGCTCCCTACAGGAGTTCTGTAGGGCGTTACAGCTGCGACAGGTCCTTGAGGGAAATGTTTCATGTTAATTTCCCATTTAGCTTTATCTGCCTCTGTTCGGGCATCTTGATAAATGGCACTGCAGATTTTATAGTCTGAAATCATTTTTGCCTTCTTAGAGGGATGAACTCTCTATCCCAGATTCTCTTTCTACTCTTCCATCCCTTGTCTGGGATAAATGTTCATTGAATGAATAAATGAAAGAAGAATTAGGCCCAGTGGAAGTATATTTGATATGAATACACTTCTATCAGAGTGACAGGGATTACTGTTAATGTTGTTTAGGGTCATAACAGTAATATGGTTACATTAGAAAAGGTAGGGCTGTTAGATCACTTAGAGAAGAGGGAAAGATAGAGACAGTAAACGTATGATGTTCGTGTCATTAGGGATGCAGGATGTACAAATCAAAGTATGATGAGAGGATGTTTTCTCCCAATCTATTTCCAAAATTGTAAACCTGACAAGACCAAGATTTGGAGAGTGTATGGACACACAGTATACTTTTTCCCTGTTGAATATAAGTCAGTGCAACCACTTTAGAAAATAGTTTGGCATTCCCTCTTACAGTGAATATTCACATACCCCACAGTCCAGCGAGTCTACTGTTAGGAGTATACCCAGGAAAAACACTTGTGCAAGAAACCTAAAATGAGTGTGACATCTTGTTCACAACAGGGGCTGAAAGCAAAAATGAATTCCCAGCAACAGAAGTTAAAATGAATGAGCTAGAACAATGTTCAACAATATGAATGGATATTAAGAGGAAAAATCATCATCCCAAAAGATTATATAAAGCATAATTCACTTTTATAAAATGACATATTTCTAATGTAAAGAATATGAACTATTTAGGATTTTTTATAGTAACAATAAAATTATATAAAAAGAAAACTCAAAATTGGTTAATTTAAGATTGAGGATGATGTTTACCTTAGTTGAGAGAAGGCAGGACAGAGGCTGGGGATTTAGCTCAGCGGCACAGCGCCTGCCTGGCAAGCTCAAGGTCATGAGTTCGACTCCCGGTGTAAGGGAAAATTTTATGGGAACCAGCTGTCCTCCGGCTATTGATAAGCAGCATGAGACTGCCCAGAAGGTGTTAGGAGTTTCAGGAAAATATTTCCCATCCTGTCCTTGGGAAAAGAAACCACAAAGGAACATACTCAGAGCAACTATCTTGCCTTTGACACTCCCTCATTCCTGAGTCTTCTCACAAAACCCCCAAATGATTGTAAAAGTCAATTTAAACTAACCAATGCTATCTGCTTCTGTAACTTCGCTTACAAAGGCCCGCCCTTTGTGG